CAGGCTTTTTCATATACCTGTTTGTGCCTTTCCTAACCTGCGTAATATATATTTTTTAGCTTCTAGAATCGTAGTTTTAAATAGTTTCCAAGCTTCCCCAATGGTTTTGACCCTTTCTACTTTTCCTTTCAGTTTCCTCCCCACATGTCCCCTCATATCAGAAAAATTACCCCTTTTAAAGTTAAAAGTGGTTGTGTGAGTCTTTTTGACCAATTCCCTATTTGTACAAATGTTGAACTCAACAACATTATGATCACTGTTCCCAAGCAGTGCAATCACTTTTACATCTCTCACCAGGTCTTGAGTGTTACTTAGGACCAAATCAAGGATCGCCTCTCCCCTGGTAGGTTCCGTGACCATCTGCTCCATAGCACAGTCATTTAGAGTGTCTAGAAACTCAATCTCTTTCTCTCAACTAGAACACATATTGACCCAATCAATGTGTAGGTAGTTAAAATCACCTATTAGGACACAGTTTTTTTGTCTAGCTGCTATCTTTAATTCATTTATCATTATATAATCCTCCTTTATCTTTTTATCTGGTGGGCGATAAACTCCCAATGTTAAGTTTCCTTTTGGGCCCACTATTTCAACCCATAGAGTTTCTAGAAGTGAATCCAATTCTCTTAGCCTCTCAATCTTACTGGACTGTATACCCTCTCTGACATACAGAGCCACCCCACCTCCAACCCTTCCCCCCCATCCTTCCGATATAATTTATAACCGGGAATCACTGTATCCCACTGCTTTTCTTCATCCCACCAAGTTTCTAAAATACCCACAATGTCTATTTTTCCCTCCAACACCAAGCAGTCCAACTCCCCGATTTTACCTTGGACACTTCTAGCATTTATATAGAAACAGCTATAATTTGCCATACATCTTAAACCTGCAACCTTCCTCTTGCTATCTCGAGATCTTGTCAGGCAGTCCATGTCACTAACCATGGTCTCGGTGGACAATTTCAATCCACCTCCCTGTAGAAAAGCAACATCTACCCCCTCATCTCTCTGGGATGAACCAACCCGAACCAGAGACTTTTAATCTCCTGTTGGCTTTCCCCCAAGCTTCAAGAAGGGGAAAAGGAGGATCCAGGTAACTACTGACCCGTCAGCTTGACGTTTATACCTGGGAAAGTTTTAGAACAAATCATCAAACAGACAGTCCTTGAGCATTTAGAAAGGACGGCTGTGCTCACAAAGAGCCAGCATGGGTTTCTCAAGAACAAGTCATGTCAGACTAGCCTTATCTCTCTTTTTTGAGAAAGTTACTACCTTGCTGAATCAGGGGAATGCTGTCAACATAGATTACCTTGATTTCTGGTTGTAGTGCAGTGTTGCAGACGTGGCGGAGAGTCGCTTTCCCGCCGCTCTGGCTTTTTCACTTCCATTTGTGGGTCTCTAGTTCCGAGAGAACCCCCCTTCCCTCGGGTAGAGGGTAGGGAGCAGGGGAATTTTGGCTGGTACTCTGTTCAGCAGCAGTGATAGGAGTAACCAGGCGTTTCCCAAAGCATCGAGCGGACAAGACTCTCACTTCGCGGAGTTTCAGCTGTCGCTACTGGACATGGGGTGCGGTGGGTTCTTAACTTTGTTAAGTATTATTTCTAAGCAA